CTTTGCTTCTGGGGCTATAAACCACCCTGCCCTTTGTTTCTGAGAGAGATACTGTCTGTCTGCCACATCTGTTTGCTATATAAACATCCTTGAAATGATAGTCTGAAATAAGGGCAGTCATTGCCTCACTCACAAGATGCACAGAAATGAAAAAAAGCCATGAAGAATGGTGTTCAATTTTCTTCTCCCATGATTGCATGGAGTCAAGGATTCTCATAGGGAAAAAAAAAATTCTCAAGTCCTGTTCACAATTGGTTAAAGATATAAAGTCACTCATTTTAGCTGAAAGAGGGGCATATTTGGTATATTGTGGGCTTCACAGTAATCTTGTTTTCTTCTCACTTTATCATGGTGGTGACCTTGTCTGTAAGTTCTGTGAGATTGTTAGACACAATAGAGCATGACCTAACTGTGAGCATCTCACCAGTTTGCAAATATCAGGCACCACTTTTTTCTCTCTCAATTGTTTATTTGAATCAGGATTCATATTATGTCCTCCCATTGAACTGGTTGACATGTTTCTTAAGTGTCTTCTTCCATTTTATTTTCTTTATAATTTATTTGTTGGAAGAAATCAAACTATTTGTCCTAAAGAATTTCCCATGGCTTGGATTTTACTGAGTGTATCCCTGATGTGCCATTTAAAATATTATTTAATCTCTTTATTTCCTATAAGTCAGTAGTTAGAGATAAAGGCATGATCAAATTCAGATTCAAAGATAAGAATACTTCTTAAGCAGTAATGTGTTTTCCATAACAGGAGGCACATATCAGGCGATTATGGCTTTTTCTGTGATGTTAGCAGTCTATGATGGCTTGATCCATTAATTCATTAGGGGTTACAAAAGTGTGACATTCTAATTATATCTTTTCTTTTTATATTAACTGAAATATATTTTGTCTATTTATTTAAGTTTGGTGTCCTCAGATCTTTCCCAAATAACTTAAAGATGCCTTGCATATTAAAAGAATGTAAAATAGGACATCCAGAGATAGAACCCGGCCAAAATCATAATAGAAGCAATTGAATATTGTTTCTTCAATTCTATTACTTTCTTGTTTGAATTTTTTATGCTCTAGATATAAATGGAAATGTCTATATTTGAACTCTATCAAAGGGACAGATTTTAGTGTGGTCAACCAGGACACGAAAAGATTGACAATTTTCTGGAATTCAACTAGAGACTTAAAATCTGTATGTTTCTCCTGTGTAAAGAATATAGAAAAAGTCTCCACAGGCCCTGCTAAGTAGACAATTATCCTTAACATTTTCACTTCAGGTCAGAATACACATGACATGTGCCAAGTTCATTAATAAATGGAAGAATATCTTATATTCTCTAATTGTGAAGTACTCTTGTCACTGTAGTAAAACCTTAAACTACCCAGAATTAGAGTTAATTCTGTTAACTCTAAAACCTCAAACTATCCAGAATTAGAGTTAATTCTAAGTTAATATACTATTAAGTGCTTAGATTTGCACTTAATAGTATATTCTTGCTGTGTAAGGATTAACCAGAAAAGTTTAAGGTATGTATCTTTCTGTGTGTGTATAATCCATTATATTTCAGGACACATAACTCAGCATCACCCATAATAACTAGCACATATTTTACATGATCTTAAGGTCATGTTCTGCTGAAGTCTGCCAACACCAAAGTGTAAACATCAAAGGAATTTCATCTCCATAGGTGTGTACTTAAATATACAAATCCATATCTCTAAATCAATAGTGTCTTCTGGCCCTTCCTGCTTTCCCCTTGAGACTTAAATTAGGGAATTCAAAGGAGACAGAAAGACCTGGGTAACAATTTGCTGGGCCTCAAGACCAGGCTCAGCTGGGGTTGTTGTTTACCTGGCCTTTGGTGAGTCCTCCACTTGGGATACCCTAGCCATGCTCTGTAATACTTACGGTGACTAGCTTGTCTGCCCCCTTGGGAACAATTCCTCAAAGGTAGACTAGAAAGCTTCCTAGACTCTGTTACTATATTTTTCTGACATAATAAGCATAACTTATTGAACAGACTTAAATATTTGATGAACTTCCACTGCTTCAAAGTCATTATTTTGACATCAGTGACAGTCTTACAGACAGTGAACTGCAGGAGATTAGATGGACATTGTACTGACTCAGGAAAATATTCTGAAGTTTGCTTTTTGACTAAGCCTCTGATATGTATTCGCTTTTTTTTTATTTGACTCTTACTTTTGAAAGTGTGATGCAGCCAAAAAAAAAAAAAAAAACATCAAATTATCAACCATTAAGATGCATTTAAGAAAACTAAGTATTTGAGAGGGCTAGATCTGCTTGGTAAGTAAAACTTCACGAGGGAGTTGTAGAGTCACAAAACTAGAAGGAACATTTTGGATCGACCAGTCACATTTCCTTCATCTCATAGCTGAGGAAAATGAGGCTGAGTGGTGTGAAGTGACTTAGCCAAAGCCATGTGGCCCATCAGCAGCAAATCTAGAACTCATGTCTTTGACTCTTCTGACCATGCAAATCACTAAAAGTGATTTTTTATATTTTAATATTCAGTTGCTACCCTAAAAACTAAATTTACTAATAAATGGCAGATTTTTCATATAAATTTATGCAGCATAAATGAAATATCTGAGAAAAGAGAAAAACATATTCTGCAAAACTGCTAAATTTAGTGCTCACAGGAGCATAACACCAAAATTTCCCTGAGTATAACTTTTTATTTTATTATTACCTCACCGTGATACAATAAACCCTGGCAAAAATATATTTTTGAAGTTGTGTTCACTCTTCCAGATCATTGGGATACTACTTGGTGGGTCTTAATAGTAATATATCTACTAGTAGTCTAGTGCTACTGACCAGAAAAATTTTAATGGTTCTACAAATATGTCGCAGTCACTAGAGAAATCTGCTTGTTTTATAAAAATGCCATAAATTCTCTTGGTACTATTTAAAATTAAATGAGTTCAAAAGTGATCTTCAAAGGTGCTATGCTTGAATTAATCCAAAATCATTTTAATAATATTTTAGAAGTGAATCTAAAAATTGATCATACAAAAGAAATGCAAAATGTTTTTAATTTAAAGTCATCTTCTCTTATTCAGTAACTTCCTTGTACAAGAGTCTAATTTGCTAATTAGACTGATGATACCTGCCTTCATTGTGAGTTACGGGTAATTAGATGTTATAACTGAACTACTAAGAGAGGCTGAACCCCTCAAAAGGCAGTCAACCAGATCATTATCTGAGGCAAAGCAGGCTAATTATCACCATGAAGTTCAAACTAGAGGAATTGATCTAAACATCTAGTGGACTATATTTTGAGTCAAACCCCTTGTGCTTAGTGAATTCACACCATAATCTTCTTAGTACATTAAAATGGGATCTAAAAAAATATATACAGAATCAGACAAAGTGCACTGAGGGAAAGAAAACATGTAGAGATAATCCCAGCTGAAGAGAAAAAATTTCTATAAATATTATGGAAGTCTGCATCTGAAGTTGGGACAACCACTCCCAGGTGACCAAAAACCCTTTGATTCTCACTTTGAAACACCTGGGAAGTGAGAATATTCTAGAACGTCTTATACAGTTATAATTACTCCTCCCCTTCCCCAAGAGTTATTGCTTAGTTCTTGGGGGCCAGTGAGGGAAGAAGGAAATGCATCTTGGACTGATGCGATGGTACATGTGACAGAAGAACAGAGAGGTTTAAAGAGGGGGGGAGGACACTACTGATGGGCTTAACAATATTTGCAATCTATTTTCACCCCATGACTGTCAAGACACTATTTCTATGAGACAATACGTTCTATGGTTCAAGAAAACAATTTACCAATAAGCTTACTGAATGCCACTTGTTTGTAAATTGGTGATACAGAAAGATTTCAATGCCTGAATAAATTACTGTAATGAGATTGTAAAGTTTTCTTAAACCTTTTTTACTGTGGGGAATCCTAACAAAAGGTGAGCCTTTCAAGATGCTGACATATACAGCATCCTCATCCTAATCACTCATCGCCTTTGATTGTGTAACTGTGTGGCTTGTATCTGCTTTATTTGTCTGACAAGGTAGTAAAGCTTCAGCCTTACTCACAGGGGATGCTGTGTTATACAGTCCTTTGGAATCTTTCTTTGCAGCTTGCACACAGGGGAGCCAGGAGGCCTTCGTGGTGGAAGGTGTGAGCAAAGAGGAGTGAGCTAAACATCTAGTGGACTATATTTTGAGTCAAACCCCTTGTGCTTAGTGAATTCACACCATAGTCTTCTTAGTACATTAAAATGGGATCTAAAAATATATATACAGAATCAGACAAAGTGCACTGAGGGAAAGAAAACATGTAGAGATAACCCCAGCTGAAGAGAAAAAATTTCTATAAACTAAATATTACGGAAGTCTGCATCTGAAGTTGGGACAACCACTCCCAGGTGACCAACAACCCTTTGATTCTCACTTTGAAACACCTGGGAAGTGAGAATATTCTAGAATGTCTTATACAGTTATAATTACTCCTCCCCTTCCCCAAGAGTTATTGCTTAGTTCTTGGGGGCCAGTGAGGGAAGAAGGAAATGCATCTTGGACTGATGAGATGGTACATGTGACAGAAGAACAGAGAGGTTTAAAGAGGGGGGGAGGACACTACTGATGGGCTTAACAATATTTGCAATCTATTTTCACCCCATGACTGTCAAGACACTATTTCTATGAGACAATACGTTCTATGGTTCAAGAAAACAATTTACCAATAAGCTTACTGAATGCTACTTGTTTGTAAATTGGTGATACAGAAAGATTTCAATGCCTGAATAAATTACTGTAATGAGATTATAAAGTTTTCTTAAACCTTTATTACTGTGGGGAATCCTAACAAAAGGTGAGCCTTTCAAGATGCTGACACATACAGCGTCCTCATCGTGATCACTCATTGCCTTTGATTATGTAACTGTGTGGCTTGTATCTGCTTTATTTGTCTGACAAGGTAGTAAAGCTTCAGCCTTACTCACAGGGGATGCGATGTTATACAGTCCTTTGGAATCTTTCTTTGCAGCTTGCACACAGGGGAGCCAGGAGGCCTTCGTGGTGGAAGGTGTGAGCAAAGAGGAGTGAATCATAAATCCTACATGAATGCCTATTGCTACAGATTATGGTAGGAGACAATAATAATATTGCCTTTGATTACTAACATACAGAAAAAGTTTAAAAAGTGGAAAAAAAACAGAGCGTACTGCATACTAAGATTTTATTTTATTGAATATTAGGCTATACCTGTCAGAAATTACAATAAAGCCCTCATAATGTCCTAGATGTAAGAGACTGAAAGCAGAATTTGTAAAATACATAAGTACACATCCCACAGAAAGCCACCAAATGCACTTATTTGTCATAAAACAAACTGAGAGATAGATGCATTTTATCACAGCCAGTAGGAAAGGTTTTTTTCTGTAAATAAGTCATCCGATTTGATTTTGTTCCCACTGTTTGTTTTTAATTAGGGGAAAAAACATTTTCCAATTTAAATAGCTAAGAAATATTTTCAAATCTTAAATAGGTTAAGTTCAATGCATATATAGTACTTCATCTGCCTTCCCTTTCCATGTCTATTTTAACACCAAGTCATTCACCTTTCCTCTTCAAATCGAAGCCAGATGCTGAACTTACTCACAAGTCTATTACTTTGCAGTAGGGGAAATCTGTTTGGTTCTTGTTGATTTGACAGATATTTTTCTTGTTGTTTTACATGCATTATTTTCAACACACAGAATACTAGGCAAAGCCTTGCTTTAAAGAGCCCTGTAGTTGGAAAGAGCCCATATGCCAGAATGTTCATGTGACTTTACACAGCAGGAACCACAGGGCTGGTGCCCATCTTGGCGAGTACTGGCCAGGATTAAATATGGTGGCCACTCACCAACGGTACCCGCAGGATAGAGCTCTGGTGTGTCAGTGAATTTTATGCTCAAACAAAGGGCAATATTTGCAGTTTGTGAAGCATTTGGGGAAGTATAAAGTATAAAAACCTCTAGGCATAAAATTTTATTAGTATCTTTCCTCTAGATGAGGAGAAGATAAACATGGACTTTACCAATATTATGCTGGGATTCATCATTCACATACTCTCTATATACAAACATCCACAAATAATTCTGCTGCAACTAATATTTTATGTCCTTTCCGTGCACTCTCTACTTCCTTCCTAGAACACTTGAAGGATAAGTTAGAAGACTACATGGCTCGATTTTCTAAAGTGAGGATTGTTCGTACCAAGAAAAGGGAAGGGCTCATCCGGACCCGACTCCTGGGGGCATCTATGGCAAGAGGAGAAGTCCTGACGTTCCTGGACTCCCACTGCGAGGTCAATGTGAACTGGCTACCGCCCCTCCTTAGTGAGTACCACCACCACCACTGCAGGGCGTCCTGGGGGCCTGGGGAATCACAGCCCTTCAGAGGGAGAGAGCAGTTTACTTACGTTGACTTTGCAATCAGCCAAGACTAGAGAGCCCTTCTGTAATTTTTCCATTGGGAGCCTTGAATTGTAACTTAACCACTGCTGAGGACAAATAGATAACTAGAAAACTGCATTTAAAGTGACATTTTAGATAATGCCAACTGCAATCTAACTTTAGGTTTTAAAAAGGTTTCTATTATCTTAGACATCCTCCTTTATTGCAGATATATTCACTGAGTAAACACCAAAAAAAAAAGTGTCCCAAACTGTTGTTATAGTCACCTATAACTACAGTAAGATTAAAATACACACTCTCTCTCTCTCTCTCTTTCTCTCTCTCTCTTAAATAATTATTACAGGATAAAAATGTCGAAAGAAAAGTATTCAGCCCCACGATACAGTCAAAGCATAAGCACCTTGACATTTTCTGGGATTTCTAATGCCATTTCATTTTGTTATTCTTTCCACTTCTAACACCAGCCTATATCCCTACATATATAATCCCCCATATTTTCATAGAACCCCTCAAACATTCAGAGCTGCTATCCAGGTGAGATGTCCTTAATGTTCTCAATATGGCTAAGAAGAGGGAAGGAAGAGGACTCGGTCACCTCACAATTGAACTGTTAGGGAAACGCAAAAGAACTAAAAGTAATCGAAGCTAGAAAACAGGTGTGGCTCAGGTCAAGCTTCATTACTTTTTTTATTTTATCTTACAATGAAGTTAGATACAAAGTCCAGTTGTGGATAAGAAATAAATTGTAAGCCTGAGAAAAAAATCTCTCTCTAAAAAGTTCTTGGTTCACACATATTGTACTTTTTCCTATTCTCCCAGATTCTGCTAAATCAACTTTTATTGTAAATAAATCCCTGGCCTTGGAACTAAAGCCAGTAATAACTGCCTTCACAATAGCTGTCTCAAAAGGAATGATCTGCTATGGACTGCTGTGTAGGATTTCAACTAGAACCAGCAAAGCTCCATCAGTAAAAGATGGGGGGGGGGAGTCAATTGAAATTGTACAGGATTTAAAACACCTAACATGCCCCACAACATCACCCAATCCACATACCCTTGCGCAGACAACTGCCCGGCCACCCTCATCAATGGGAATGTTTCAGTGCTCCTACAGGCAGAGATTCCTCCAAGCCTTTAATTAAAAGTACCTTGTCCAAGGACGTAATGATTTAGAGCTTCATCAGCAACAGTGAGATTCCCTCAAACTAAATTTAACCTATATGGTGTTGAGTACTTAAAAAAGTCAGCAAAAAGTCTAGTTTAATATGAGGCAAAGCAATCCCTAAATACCAATTATCAAGTCTCTAATTATTTACTATGAATCTAACCAAAAGAGAAGAAAAATGATAGGGGAAGAAAAAGAGAAAGAGAATAAGAGAAACCCACCACCCCCTTTTTCTCATTAAAGCATTTCATTTCCTGCAGCCTGATGGATAAGAAATGATTCAAGCTCAGCATCACTATCTCTTTTTATTTTCCTCTATCAGTGTCTTGACACATCATCCAAAATGAAAAAACAGGCGGAGCTGCACAGTTTCCTGGTTCATTTTTCACCATGGGATTATACCTGAATTTCAAGTTCCCATTAAGAGTCTGTTTGTTTGATCCCTGGAAATTGAAATGTAGTCTCAAGCCTTGGATGAAAAATTAGTCATGCTGCTTTCACCCTAAGCTAGTGCCGCTGGATGAGAGCTGAAAGGAGATTTGAAGGGAAGTTGACAGTTAATTAAACAGACACATTCTCTTTGGGTCACCTTGGGACTCTTTTTTGGTCAAGGAACTTGTAAATCAACCTGATTCTGAATTTGATGAAGAAAGTCACTGAAACCTTAATACCAAAACAACATGCAGAGGTGATAGAAGAAATATTTTGGACAATCATCTCCTCTATCAAAGACATCTCTGAAGAAACACCATTTAGATAAAGATTAAAACCTATTATAAGGCTTGCCCAGGAGAAAATGGATACTTATAGAGCCCTTGGTGGAGATTAACTCACAACAGTGCTGGGGTCTCTCTGGCTACTAATCAGCTGAAATAAGATAAAGGCAACCTCCAGGTTCTCAGGCTTACTGGGGCCCTGCTATCTAAAATTACAACCCTTTCCACACCCCAGCATTCCACATTCCCCTTGCCCTGTTTCATTTTCTTTTCATCTCATTTATCACCTTCTAAAAGACTGTATCATTTAGTTATTTATTGTATTTATTAATTGTCTTTGCTCCATTCCTGAAGACAAGGATTTTTATGGTATTATTCTCTGCTGTATCCCCAGGACCTAGAAAAGTGACTATCACATAGTTTCTACTCAATAAATAACTGTTGAGAAGGAAGGAAGGAAGGAAGGAAGGAAGGAAGGAAGGAAGGAAGGAAGGAAGGAAAAAGCATGTACATCTGGAAGGGAGATCTTCCACAGAATTCTCTGGTTTCCACACCCTGTTTTACAGGTGTCCTCAAAATAGAGCCACTTGTTATTACAGTCAATAAAACCATATGCTTCCTGCCCTATGCTTAGGAGAAACTTCTGAAGCAAATAGACAGTTTCCTGACTGTAAGAACTTTATCCCTGACACAGATTACATTTACTCCAGGATCACTGGGGGAAGTGATATGATATTCACCAACCTTCATAGTATTTCTAAATTATATCTATTGTTCCTTTGTTTAATGTCACTTGCCACATCCAAAGGTCTTCCAATTAACAAGAGAGCAGATATTACACTTCAAATTTCTGCCTGTCAGACAATATTGGTTTGTTATAATAAATATTGATTAAATGCATATTCTTGGGAAGAAAGATACTGCACACGTAGCTATTCTGTGTGACCAAAGCATACAAATTCCAGGTGCCCATGCTGGCTGTTAATGTCATCGTGATAACAATCTCTACATGAGAAAGAAAGGTGCTAGATATGAAAAAAAAATCATCTCCTGCTACCACGAGAAGCACCATGGCAAACTGGAAAGGCCAGGTTTGGAATTACACTGTCATGCTGGGGTTGCATCCTGGTTATTGCTCTCAAAAGCTGAGTGATCTTTGACAAGTTATTTAACTTCTCTGAGCTCAGTTTCCTTATATATAAATTGGAAGTGTCAATAATAGCCTCCTCATAGGGTTGCTAAGAGTATTAGAAATAGCATGAGTATAAATCACACTCTTTAGTAGTTGCTGAAGAATTTAGTAGTAACAGTAGTAATAAGCAGTAGTTTCTTGCCACCTAATTTTTTGGGGGTATAATGAGAGAAGAGGAAAATGTAAGTTTTGATAAACAGAGCCAATCTCAAAGAACAGTGGCAAAATGGGACTCGGCAAAATCTCTGGCAAACCTGAGAGCAAAGCATTCTACATACGATTTGTCAGCATTTAGTGGGAGACAGCCGTTATGACTCCTATAAGATTAGATGCTACAAAAACCATGAAGTTAAATATTTACATTTTGGAACCTCCAGAAAGCAGGCCACTATTTTCTCAGCAGACTCTAGCTGTATGCTTGAAGGAGCACAAGTACCGCTTATACTCTGCACATGTTGGATGCATGATAAAATGACAGATTGGGGACAGGTCAGAGGAAAAATGTGACAGAAGTAGAGCTAAATGGACTTCTGAAAGTCTCTCTGGGACATAACTTTCTTAAAAGAAAGTACAACTCTAATTGCACCTAATCACTGTCCCATCACGTTAAGTCCAGCATTCCAAAAGAGATTCCTGCAAAGTGCTCTGATGAGGACAGGGAGCCAAGGCTGCAAGTGTTATGCATGACTAGGGGCTGTAGGCTTCTCTTTGCTGAAAAATGATAGATGACCTACGCAGTCATGTCATTTCCTATTTTGTGCTTTCATTTTTCAGACCAAATTGCACTAAACCACAAAACCATCGTGTGTCCCATGATCGATGTCATTGACCACAATCACTTTGGGTATGAGGCACAAGCTGGGGATGCCATGCGAGGAGCCTTCGACTGGGAAATGTACTACAAAAGAATCCCCATCCCTCCAGAGCTCCAGAGGGCAGATCCCAGCGACCCTTTTGAGTGAGTAGCAGCTGAGGGAAGGGTCAAGGGAGAGAGGGCAGGGAACTCATTCCTTATGTGTCAAACCTGAGACCTATGAGGACAGTTATCTCTGATAAAATAGAATAAAACAGGTGACAAAAATATGCAAAATATCAGAGTAAGGGCAGACCTACACGCTGTAGAAAATTACAAGCTACACCAATATACATGGATCACCCCGCCTCAAATTTTGCTAAGCGTGAGAGAACGTGTGCAGATGAAGAATCCAGAAAATGTATAGTCAACAGAAAATGCAAAGAGAAGGAATGCATGTTCCCCATTTATATGTTCTCTTCTTATTGCCCGTTCTCTCTGTTCTTTTTACTTTTCCCAAAAGGACTACTGAAATTAACTATTTTATCTTTCTTTTATTGGGGATTGATATAAAATACGAACCAGTATTTAAATCTACATCCTACTCCCTGTTAGGAATTGTCTGTGATGAAAGACAGTGCTCCTGAGTAGGTCCTCCCATAATTTAAACTTGGGGAATTCAATCAAAATGATGTATCCAGAGTAAATAATCTTTGATAATGTTGCCCCTAACTTAAGTACTTTATAGAGAAGAACTTACAACATAATCTATCGATTAATTTCTACAAAACTAAATTCTTTCATTTTTTTTTAGTGTAGACATGGGAATTGTGCATCTCAAGAAAAAAAAGTATATATATGGCTTAATTTGGCAAACTATCAAGACCATAAAATGGTGGATGTGAACTTTTTCCAGCAGTTAACCCAGAGATTGCCCAAGGCGTATTATATTCCTCATACTTTGATCTCACTAAAACCTTTATAATTTTAAAACCATTATATATATTTTTTCTTAGTGCAAGAAAAATGTCTGTGATCAAGGCTTTGCACAGTCTGTAAGAGTCCATTTAAAATGCATCAAAATCCATACTGTCTTTTCATCAATAATATGGGTCATAAAAGTTTGCAGTAGAGAAGTTACTGAGTAAAATACCACTTCTGTGACATTAACACTTTAAATTACAATGAACATGTAATAATCATCAGGAAAATGTTTTCTCCAATTGCAGTCTCTAGGAAGATGAACTCCTAGGGAAGCAAAAAGGATTTCAGAAGACATTTGCCTGATAAGATGGGAGAGAAGTCATTTCTTTTGTAAAATAAAGCACCTTCATTAAATATCCAGAGCTTCTGGAGTTAGGCCTCTTTAGACTCTCAAATTACTGGAGAATTTTTTAAGAGAAAAAAACAAAAGACCTTTGTTGCTTCCCCAAATGCTCTGGCCAAATTTCATGGATATTCAAAACTACTAGAAAAGTTTTTTAGTGATTAAAAATAAAGGAGCTTCTAATAAGCATTTGAAGTAGGCCTAGCTGGGAGATGCTCTTCAGACTTCCTTTAATGTAACCATCTGAATGTCTAGGCAAAGAGGGTAAGGTGATTTAAGTGATATGTGAGAGGCAAAGCATATGCCAATTAGCTTGGTTTAGCCATTCCAGAAAGTGTCCCTATTTCAAAAAATCATGTTGTACACTATAATTATATAAAATTTTTATTTGTCAATTAAAAATAAATACAAATACAATGAAATAAAAATTAAAGAACTGTTTCAAATGTTAAAAATATAGATAAAGAGGTGGCGGGAGTAAAAAAGGGTCCTAAACACAGTAGCACTGTTATTAGATGGCAGCAAACAATAGAATAGTCACACAGTTCAGTTGCTACTCACTGGGGTTACCATGTTTTAAGGGCTAAGATTCATTCATGGTGGTTTCCCAAAATACTATAATGGTGCCTGATTACAGTGACCCCTTGCTTTCATTTCACTGTGATAGCAGAGTGGGGCTCCTACTTTCTGAAATACTGGGATCAAAATGTGACCAAAGGAATCCTCAAGCATGAAAATTATAAAAGTATTCTCAGAGAGTGCAGGGGTCTGCCTGACTGGTGAAATTTTTGTCAGGCAGACCCCGGCTGTGGCTATCACAATATCAAGCGCGTTATTTGCCCCAGAGCTGGAAGAATCAGTAACTTTCAGAATTAGGTTACCTCTTGTTCCTGTCACCTACTTAAATGGTTGCTGTCCTGTCAAAAATTGCATTGTCTGTAGGATATTATTGTCTTTCTGCTTTAAATCCCTCTGATTGCTAGGAATGTAGACACTTTAGCCTTTTGTAATAAATGTAACTTCCAAGAGGTGTCCACTTTGATCTTAAAAACTGCATTTGCCTTCCTGATAATAAAAGAATGGTTACCCAAGCAGCTCTGAGCAGTGTATCAGCAATTCCATTATCACGGCAGTCACCTGACTGTGCTCATAAACAGACATGCTTTAGGCTAAAGCTTGCTTCTCTAGATACACAGAACAAATGCAGTCTATCTATATATCTCATAGCCTTTCAAGTTTCAAGAGGCTGCTGCTGGAGAGTGTGGTTTTCCGTAGCAAGAGAGGGAGGGGAGGCTGCAAAGACAGGAAGAAAAGAACTGAAGAGGAATATGTAAGAGTATTGCAAATGCCAGAACTCTTCATACAATATACATGCAAAAAATTATCTTTCTATAGCAAGTTTATCAAATGTCCCATATGGTAAGATCTGAATTCTCTCATTTATTCTGCCATTATTTGAGTTTTCAGTGACTAACAACTACTGATGAGAGCACTGCCTTTTGACCTAAAAATCCTGTGAAATTAGTGGGGCATGAACAGTGTTTAGTTAATGAATTGGTTTGAACTGAGTTTAAAAATTCAGGGTATGATACTAATGTGTATGTATAAGTATTATTTCTCAAATATTTGATTTGAGTTATAATGCAAATATGGTCCTGGGGCGTCATGGTATTCTAAGCCATATTTTTAAATATAAGTTACATAGTCAAAGAGTTAAAAATCCACCAACTTCCTAAACTGGGGATCAAAATCTTTGACAATCTAACTAGGAAAGAAAAGAAAAACTCATGGATAATTTTGAACACTAAAAAAAGATTTACTTATACTAGCAAAGGGATCTAGTTTTCAGACAAACTGCTACTAGAATATAAGATAAAATGAATTAGATTGGATACATTTGAGAAACACTTCTGTCTTTTGATTAAAGAAAAACAAAATGTTCCCCTTTACTGGTGGCTTATATCATGATGTAATGCCTTTAGAAATTTCTTGTTATCTGTGGCTTTTAAAAGGTTTCCCTATTTCTGGTTCATCTTGAATTCATGGCACTAAAGAATATAAGCCTTTTCTGTGTGTCAAAACATAATACACTTCTTTAGCCATCATGACAGAGGGGAAGATGTTTGTTTGCTCCTGGCCATGAACTTACTTCTTCAGCCTTATCACATCATCTAAAAGTTTAAAAAGGACCAGAAGAAAGTATCTTGCAAAACTTCCTTGTCAATACAAACTACCACTAGACAATGTCCAGGACGGGTAACCAGCCTGTGCTTGAACTTGTCAGGAAAGTAAATTTGCTACCTCAAAAGACAGCCTATTCCATCAGACTTGACAGAAACCATTTCCCTTGTATTAAGAAAAGTCTGCTTTTCTGATCAAAATTGTTCTACTTGAGATACAAGAAATGTGTAATTCCTCTTCAATGATCAAGCTGTTAAAAATATTTGAAAAGAAATTTCCCTTGTATTAAGAAAAGTCTGCTTTTCTGATCAAAATTGTTCTACTTGAGATACAAGGAATGTGTAATTCCTCTTCAATGATCAAGCTGTTAAAAATATTTGAAAAGAGCTGACATGCCTATCACTTCCAAGGTGGAAAAACTTTTTTCTCTTCTGGACTAGGCTAAATATTTAAAGTTCTATCATCATGTTTTTCAGGTCTTCAGAATTCTGTAAAAGTTTATGTTCATTGAGGTAACTATTCAATGTCTATAAATTCACTTGACTAAGGCAATCTTACCCAGGTTTCTCCAACTTATCCACAAGGATGGCATAAAATATTTCATCCAATATTTCAGGTGCTCAGGCCCTAATATATGACTCTGACAACCATAAAAACAAAGTTAATTTTTGGAGAATTTGCACTGGTTCCTGGAGATCATGGTTCCTTTTGCTAAGTATTCAGAATCAATTCAGCAGTCCACTCAATTTTGAAAGTTCATTGTATTTTTCAGAATCCACCTCTATCTGGTCTTTGGATGGCAGAGAAATTATTTTTACACTGCCAATCTTCCTCAGATAGATCTTCACGATTCCTCAAAGACTTCTAAAACTTAGAGGTTTAATTGTCACACATGGAATTCTTGTACACAACCACTAGTGAGGACTGACATTTTCTATTTTCCACTGATTTCCAGAATTCTTAAAATAAGGATATCCACACTGGGGAAAATTAACTCACAAGCTACAAACATTCATTTATTTTCTAAGAAATCCTATGTCCAAGGACACATCAGTTTGAATTCTGTGACTCCTCATCCAAGACCATTACTAGCCTAGAAATGCCCCTGTGCATGGATAGCACCAGGCATGGATAGTGTGGAGGCTGCCAAGCACCTCGAGGTAGGCACTTGAACTACAGAAGATCCCCTGAGGGTCTACACACCAAATGGAAAATCCTCATGAGTTGGTTCTATAGTCCAGAAGTATAAAGCATAGCCCATGCTAAAATGGATAAAATTCCACCTCTCAATTACAGAGAATTGAATCACTATTGCATGGAAGTAGAATGCCTTCTAAAGATTTACTTACAGTGTCTTTCTTTGTTCTTCCAAGGGACAGAGTGCAGAGCTTGCTGACTCTCTTAAGAGTGAGGGAAAGAATTGATGCCAATGGTTTGTGAAAGTCAGTCCCTCTTGGATAACAAATATAACTTTTTGCTAAATTTAGGCTTAGAATAGAATCAGAAAAAAATGTGTGAATAAACATAAACTCATCAAGCTAGAAACAGTTCAACCTCTCATTTTTATAAAACAGGAAACCTAGGCTATAGAGTCTAAGTGACTTATCCAGTGTCACAACTAATAAATTTAACAGCTACTACTAGAATCTGGGGCTGC